CGCCCAGCACCGTAAAGTAACGGACTCGCGCCGCTTCTGCCAGACTCCTCCAGCCTTGGCCGAGGTCGCTTGCCAACACCTCCTCAGTCCTCCCTAGTTTAACATGGATTTTTATCGTCCATTGCTGATGCTGCGAGTAAAAGAGTGGATTCGCGGGAGGTCGTGGCCACATATAAATTTGGAAGAACAGGTGTAGCAGGTGCCTACACGTACACCATGCATTGTGTAGCGGTCAGTTCTCTGGATCGGAAATGAGTCAGAAGTATGCCGACAACAAATAACAAGTCGGGAGAATGGGATTGCGAGTGTTAATTCATCAGATTCACACCAAAACATACATCTATTCATAACAGTAAAGGAAAACGACAGTAAATGAGTAGATGGTGATCACTTTCCGACCAAAACGCTGGCAACGTCGCACTAGGAACCGAAGAGATGTGACAACAGGGCGGGCAGGAGGGGCGTAAGAAAGTTGGTTGAGGCTGATTAGGAGTCCACCCACTTCCACTTATATCGTCTACTTCACTTACTTTCGCCTTCTAGATCGCTTAAAATTTACGTGTAATAAGATCGTCCACAGTCACAAGCACGGGCGGAAATTCACTGCGATACACACATCTTCCCCGTGACCCGTTTAAGCGAGGTGGTCTTAGCAGGAGGTAGTAAGAGTGTTGTCAATCCCCAAGGCAGTGGCTAAAACAGGCTCGTGTAGTAACTCTAGTAAAAATACTCACCGCTGGCTTTCTTACATTAGATTCAGTTTACGTTGTCGGTTTTGTACTTTATATCGTTTCCGAATATCATGGATTTTTGTTCGACAAGCGGTTCAGTGTTTCTACATTTATTAAAACGAAACAAGCGTTATTTTTCTTTGGTTTTCTTACCTCTTTATTGCTTAACCCATTGATCAAGCTTTCTAGGTTTGGAATAACTCGGGACTAATGTTTTGTTTTGTTTTTCTTGTAAACCACCGTTACTCACTTTCTTTTTCTTCTCATTTCTTCATCTCTTTACTCTTTCTTTTCATTTTCTTCTGCTTTATTCTTCTTACTGCTACTCCACTTATAATCCTACTGCCTAATAGATACAACTCAACTACAACTTAAGTGAATTTTGTATTTTGTGTAGAAGTCATCGCCTTTCCCGAATTTTTCTAAAAATAATAAACACTAATGTATTTGAACACAATTCTTGTTAATTATAATCTCTCTTTTAATCATTTTAATCATTTTCGCGTTCTCCGGGTCATAGTCTTGTACTTTTTTTCTCAGATCGAGCAATTTTCTCCGTCGCACTTTCACTTTTTCGTCACGCCCCCCCCCCCTCTTTTTTTCCCTTAAATATGCTCGTAATCAACCAGGTCATGTTCTTATCTTCGACTGAACACGCTGACAATTTTTTGATCTTTGCGGTTTCATTTTTTTTTTTACTTGCAAAGAAATGTGTCAACATCAAATTCAAAACTTCCCTTTCTGGTCTCTCTCTGTATATATCTATCTATCTATCTATATCACTCTCTCTCTCTCTATCTATCTATTTATCTCTCTCTCTCTCTCTCTCTCTCTCTCTCTCTCATTCTCATCACAGAGCACACCGTTGCTATTTTTAGAGAATTAAATCTTTTGGTGTAGCCTGATTACCTTGGTTTATTTATGTTGCTTAAAGTTATCTATATCTGGTCTCGTTCTTTTAACAAGTTTTTTTTCATCTTTTCTTTTTTTCTTTTTTTTAATCGACGTCTCTGAATATCTTTAGCCATTTTTCCTCAACCGTCCTTTGATTCCCGCGTCCCACCCAGCGACACATCTTCACAGTTCCCTCCTACGGGGTCTTCCACTCCCCTTTGCCATTAAAGCATGTGTTCAGGGAGGGACGGGGCAGGTTAACAGCGGAGTAGAACACATACAAAAAAAAAATAGCCTTCATACAATCGTAAAATGTGCCAGGCAACCAGCCTAGGATTCCACACGGCTCGTCCAGTCCTAGGATTCTACACGGCTCAGTTAGCTCTAGAATTCCACATGGCTCAGCTAGCTTTAGAATTCCACATGGCTCACCAAGCCTTAGGATTCCACACGGCTCACCAAGCCTTAGGATTCCACACGGCTCACCAAGCCTTAGGATTCCACACGGCTCAGCTATCTCCAAGATTCCACACAGCTCAGCTATCTCTAGAATTCCACACGGCTCAGCTATCTCTAGAATTCCACTGGCTCACCAAGCCTTAGGATTCCACACGGCTCAGCTATCTCCAAGATTCCACACGGCTCAGCCATCTCCTCCTCCTCCTCCTCCTCCTCCTCCTCCTCCTCCTCCTCCTCCTCCTCCTCCTCCTCCTCCTCCTCCTCCTCCTCCTCCTCCTCCTCCTCCTCCTCCTCCTCCTCCTCCTCCTCCTCCTCCTCCTCCTCCTCCTCCTCCTCCTCCTCCTCCTCCTCCTCCTCCTCCTCCTCCTCCTCCTCCTCCTCCTCCTCCTCCTCCTCCTCCTCCTCCTCCTCCTCCTCCTCCTCCTCCTCCTCCTCCTCCTCCTCCTCCTCCTCCTCCTCCTCCTCCTCCTCCTCCTCCTCCTCCTCCTCCTCCTCCTCCTCCTCCTCCTCCTCCTCCTCCTCCTCCTCCTCCTCCTCCTCCTCCTCCTCCTCCTCCTCCTCCTCCTCCTCCTCCTCCTCCTCCTCCTCCTCCTCCTCCTCCTCCTCCTCCTCCTCCTCCTCCTCCTCCTCCTCCTCCTCCTCCTCCTCCTCCTCCTCCTCCTCCTCCTCCTCCTCCTCCTCCTCCTCCTCCTCCTCCTCCTCCTCCTCCTCCTCCTCCTCCTCCTCCTCCTCCTCCTCCTCCTCCTCCTCCTCCTCCTCCTCCTCCTCCTCCTCCTCCTCCTCCTCCTCCTCCTCCTCCTCCTCCTCCTCCTCCTCCTCCTCCTCCTCCTCCTCCTCCTCCTCCTCCTCCTCCTCCTCCTCCTCCTCCTCCTCCTCCTCCTCCTCCTCCTCCTCCTCCTCCTCCTCCTCCTCCTCCTCCTCCTCCTCCTCCTCCTCCTCCTCCTCCTCCTCCTCCTCCTCCTCCTCCTCCTCCTCCTCCTCCTCCTCCTCCTCCTCCTCCTCCTCCTCCTCCTCCTCCTCCTCCTCCTCCTCCTCCTCCTCCTCCTCCTCCTCCTCCTCCTCCTCCTCCTCCTCCTCCTCCTCCTCCTCCTCCTCCTCCTCCTCCTCCTCCTCCTCCTCCTCCTCCTCCTCCTCCTCCTCCTCCTCCTCCTCCTCCTCCTCCTCCTCCTCCTCCTCCTCCTCCTCCTCCTCCTCCTCCTCCTCCTCCTCCTCCTCCTCCTCCTCCTCCTCCTCCTCCTCCTCCTCCTCCTCCTCCTCCTCCTCCTCCTCCTCCTCCTCCTCCTCCTCCTCCTCCTCCTCCTCCTCCTCCTCCTCCTCCTCCTCCTCCTCCTCCTCCTCCTCCTCCTCCTCCTCCTCCTCCTCCTCCTCCTCCTCCTCCTCCTCCTCCTCCTCCTCCTCCTCCTCCTCCTCCTCCTCCTCCTCCTCCTCCTCCTCCTCCTCCTCCTCCTCCTCCTCCTCCTCCTCCTCCTCCTCCTCCTCCTCCTCCTCCTCCTCCTCCTCCTCCTCCTCCTCCTCCTCCTCCTCCTCCTCCTCCTCCTCCTCCTCCTCCTCCTCCTCCTCCTCCTCCTCCTCCTCCTCCTCCTCCTCCTCCTCCTCCTCCTCCTCCTCCTCCTCCTCCTCCTCCTCCTCCTCCTCCTCCTCCTCCTCCTCCTCCTCCTCCTCCTCCTCCTCCTCCTCCTCCTCCTCCTCCTCCTCCTCCTCCTCCTCCTCCTCCTCCTCCTCCTCCTCCTCCTCCTCCTCCTCCTCCTCCTCCTCCTCCTCCTCCTCCTCCTCCTCCTCCTCCTCCTCCTCCTCCTCCTCCTCCTCCTCCTCCTCCTCCTCCTCCTCCTCCTCCTCCTCCTCCTCCTCCTCCTCCTCCTCCTCCTCCTCCTCCTCCTCCTCCTCCTCCTCCTCCTCCTCCTCCTCCTCCTCCTCCTCCTCCTCCTCCTCCTCCTCCTCCTCCTCCTCCTCCTCCTCTTCCTTCTCTTCCTTCTTCTCTTTCTTCTTCTCCTTTCTCATCTTCCTTATCTTCCTTTTCTCTTTCTTTCCTCCCTTCTCCTCTTCCTTATCTTCCTTCTCTTTCCTTTCTCCTCTTGATTATCTTCCTTCTCCCTTTTCTTTCTTATCCTCCCTCTCCTATTTCTTTTCTCCCTTCTCTTTCTTATCTTCCAAAATCCTTTTCTTTCCTCCCTTCTCCTCTTCCTTATCTTCCTCCCAACCTCCACTACCTCCCCTTCTCCCCCCCCCCTTCATATATCTCTTTCTTCCTCAATTCCTTATCAGCATCTTCCTCCTCCTCCTCCTCCTCCTCCCGTTTTCCACTCCTCCTCCTCCTCCTCCTCCTCTTCGCACACTCTTTCTTCTTTATCCTCCTTTCTCGTTCTCTTTCTCGTTAGTTTCTATTCCTGTTTTTTTTTTCTCTCTCTTTTCTCTTATGCCTAATTTCTCCTTTTCTCTCTTACGTTTCATTCGTTTTTGTTTTTTTTAATGGATTAGAGGAAACATTATAAGTATATATCACTTTGCTTATAAGTATTCAGTTTCTTTGTAGTTTTTTTTTCTCTCTCCTTTCTTCTTTTTCTTTCATTTCCTCTCCCTTTTTTCTTTCTTTTGTTTTATTTCTGCCTTTATCTTTCTTTCTTTCTCTCCTCTTCCTTTTCCTCGTCCCCTCCTTTTCCTCCTATTTTTTCCATCCTTCTTTTCTTTCACCTGTTCCGTTCTTTTATTTCTGTTTTTATCTTTCTCTCTCTCCTTCTCTTCCTTTTCCTCATCCCCTCATTTTCCTTCAATCTTTCTTTCCATCCTTCTTCTCTTTCTCCTGTTTCATTCCCTTTTTTTTCTCTCTCTCTCCCTATTTCTTCCTTTGCCAAATTACATCATCGTTTAGTCAATGTTCAGTTAAAATATTCATATATGCCAGTCTAGCTTTTTGCAACC